TACAGTAGTGGTCCTATGCAGTATTTCTCTTTTTGTGACTGACTAATTTCACTCAGCATAATGTCCTCAAGGTTCATCCATGTTATGCGGTGCCTAGTATAATTGAATATTTACTTTTTAAGATAATCTTTTTTCTTGGCTTCGCTTTGATTTCTGTAACTATCCTTTCCTGCACTCCCTTGCCTTTTTCTCCCTTTGTATTTCTAATAATGATATCACTTGGAAGTTTACATTCTTGGAATGATTTTCCTGCTGGATCCTTCTCATCTTTCAACTCTCAGTACAAATGCTATTTTTTCCCTGGTCTCCTTTGCTTTTTTCTTCCCTAACTTTTCTAATGATCACATACAAGTCAAATTTTGTTTAAGATAATTAAATAATGGTTGTAGCAGTACATTGACAAGGAACTGCAGCAATTCAAGCTGGATTCTGAAGAGGATTCAGAATGAGAGATAGTTGATGATGCCAAATGGATCTTACAAAGAATGAGAATTCCAGAATACTAAATTGTGTTCTATTAGGAAATCAGATATAATGTTTATGTAATGCTCATATGTATGTCGACTGTTTCTAATATGCAGGGAGTATACAGTGTTATGGGAGTACATAGGAAGAGCAACTAACTCCAGTTAGCTTGGGCTGAGGGTGAGGAGAAGTTAACAAAGGCTTCTGGAAAGAAGAGACATTTAAGCTAAGAAGGAAAGATTTAATATTTTTGTTATAAATCATTAAACTGGATCCTAATATTTAGGACTTGAAACATTTACTTATGAAGATCAAAGAGCACAGCCTTCGATATGGATTACATCTCGGTGTCAAGAAAACAAAAATCCTCACCACTGGACCAATAAACAACATTCTTATCAATGGAGAAAAGATTGAAGTTCATTCTTCTTGGATCAACTATCAACACTCGCGGAAGCAGCAGTCAAGAGATCAGACGACGTATTGCATTGGGCAAATCTGCTGCACAGGAACTTTTTAAAGTATTGAAGAGCAGAGATGTCAGCTTGAGGACTAAGGTGCGCCTGACCCAGGCCATGGTGTTTTCAGTAGCCTCATATGGATGCGAAAGCTGGACAGTGAATAAGGAAGATCGTAGAAGAATTGATGCCTTTGATTTGTGGTGTTGGAGGAGAATACTGAAAGTGCTATGGACTGCCCAAAGAACCAATAGATCTGTTTTGGACGAAGTGCAGCCAGAGTGCTCCTTGGAGGCCAGGATGGCTAAGTTTCGTCTCTCATACTTTGGACATATTGTCCGGAGGAAACAGTCACTGGAGAAGGATGTCATGTTGGGTAAGGTGGAGGGTCAGAGAAAAAGAGGAAGACCCCTAACGAGATGGATTGGCCAGGTGGCATCATTG